GGGGGGAGTTGGGCTAATGTCTGGACATATCCTTTTAGAAAGGGATATCTCCCAGAAGATACTACACACGGTTTAAGTGGAATCATTTCTATTAATAATTTCTGAACAAAGGCAAAACATACAAAATGACACAAGCTATGCCAGGTCAGACTTCGCAATTTAAGCTTATACAAAGTCCTCTATTACAGATATTACATATCAAATATTTGTACACAGCTAATCAACCTATCAAAAGAAACAAAAAAGAGGAGCATTCCACCATTGTACAGACAGACACTGTACACACGTAACTGAAGTCTCATTCTGCCTTGGGCCTCATGCACACGGCGATCGAATCCCTGTGGCAAAAACATGCAGATTATGGAGCCAGGTGTGTCCATACAGATGTGGCCACTGTGCCCATTCAAGTGAATGACAGGCTGACAGCAGCCGCATATGTCAATGGCTGTCTGCATATAATCATACATGGAACGATTAACCCGCAGTTCGGGAGATATGCTTGTCCCTGGACGCAGACAGATTGTGTCCAGGGACAAAAATCTATAGTGATTACATGCAGACAGATGTGACCATTGTAAGCTTGTCATTAAAGCAGAACTCCAGGCAAACCTGTTCTTCACCCTTGTAGTGGGGCGTATAGGGTGTGAGGATGCCGAGGGACATACCATCACTGCAGCGGAGGGGTGACTGGCTGGAGGGAGTGCTCAAACAGCCGGCCGGCTGGGCAGTTTGGGTATTACTTTTTTATTTTAGCACCTATGGAAAAACAAGCATTTAACCCTTGCTGTGCAGGGGTAGCACCACTTCAAGGGTTAAGAACAGTTTTGCTTTAACTTGAATGCGCACGGCGGCCACATCTGTATGGACCCACTTGGAATTTCTGAATATACGTGATGTTAGGAAAACATGTGACCAGCAGAATGCATGGATCAGTCAAAGACAAAAAAGGGAAACACTTTTACTGCACACACACTGGACATCATTTTGAACCCAGATCAAACAAATATAGATCGGCCCAGGAAAGTATTTCTTTTCATTTTTACCCAAGCACTTACAGTCATCATATTTCAAAACAGCTGACTACAAGTCTCTCAACTTCCCTCATCTTCCTGTTCAGTACAAAATCACAAGGGACAGAGCAGACTTCAGCAGCTGTTCATCTACAAGCTAGAAGGGCCATGAGGGAGGGGAATAGCTTGCCTTGCTGTGCCTGTGTGTTTGTGGCGACACATACAACTTACTAGCACACACAAGGATGGCTCCATAGGACCATGCAAGGGAAAGAAGCCATGCTAAAACAGGATATCAGGGCCAGTGCTCAGGGGAACAGCTGATTCTGCAGGAACCTAAAACTTTGACACATCAAGGAGCAGCATCCATTGTAAGTGATTTCATCAGCATTTGGAATAGTTTTAAATCCTTTTGACATCATATCACTTTAATTTACTTAAGGCGAATAAGCTGTTCACTTTTTAAGGGAATTTCAATTTTCCCTTAGCTTAGTGAATGTGGTGAAATTTCACTATGCAAACAATAACGAATCATGTGCAAGGAAAATAATAATAATTTTTTTTAAAACAACGGTATTTTGCTTGTACATAATTGGATGAAGGATGATGGAACTCAGCAGAGATTCACCTCATTCATTAGGCTAGGTGAAAATTTCCTTGTAAAGGGAAACAGTCTATTTGCTGTAAATCAGTTTCTTCAAGTCTTTAACTGTGCTCCCCAAAAGCCATGAAGAAAAAAAATAAAGATTGTGAGAGAATGTATAAAGCCAACAAAGCTGGTAAAATGTGTTGATTTCACATAACACTGAACAGAACTCAGCCTGCTCAGAGGGTCGGCGCTCTGCAGATGAAAAGCTGAGTGTACATGATGCTCATCACACATCAATGGTCTGTTCTGCCTGAATGAATGCTTGATATTGCATAAATGGTATCTGGCATAGAAATCATTGACCCTATGGTGTCCATTATCCTATAGTACGTTTATCAATTATTTGTATACTAGTAATCACATCTTTTATTCAACATATTAAAGCTTACACAATGGAGACAAGGGATTTTTTAAAATCTGAACTGTTCTTTATTCGGTTCAGCAATAAACAAGGAACCAGTGGCACATGCCTCCTTGATAATCCAATAGTGAACAATCTGACTAAAGGGAGGTAAGAAGACAAAATGGCAGCCTCGGTTGTAATACAGTAAAAGTAAAACTTGGTGCCATTTCACACAAAAACAAAGCAATTGACATCACATTCTACTCTCACTGCCTTAATGGTATAGCGACTATGGTTAAAGACAAAGACTAATGGTGTATAGTCTGGGAGCGAGGATCGATAGTACACTGGGGGAAACCATCAGTCTAATGTGAAATAGTCTCCAGGAATTGCAATCAATAATGACCTTTAAAATCATGAAGTAAGCACTATATTAAAAAATGCAGTTATTCGTCTTTAGTAAATAAGGACCATCAGTGTCATATACTACATGACACTCTGTTATGGCTTATTTAAAACAGATTATATAATATGCCAATTTCATCAATGTGCAATTTACAAATGTCTGTTCTGACTATACACCATCACTTAACCTCTTAACCTCAATTTAGTAAATATTTTGTAATTAAAACATAATGCATTTTTTTTTACATTCTTTATTTACAAAAAGACAGGAGAATAGTAACATACATCGATGCATGAAAGTGGAATAATGGTATAGCTCAACATGTAAGTGAAAATAGGCAACAGGTAAGAGTAATGGCACAGATATTTAGCATACTGCCAGATGCCTACCAAGAGCAACCGGAGAAAACCACCTCTACGTAGACCACCAAGTGATAGAAAGTATGACCATTCCTCCCGTCCACTTTTTAGCAAAATAAGCAAAAGGAAAAGAAGGCGGGCCGTAGAGAGAGTAAGTCCTATGAGTAGTTGGATAGGAAAGAAGAAATGAAGTATATGAAAGGGGGTAGAACTGCTCCAGGGATGCAAAGGAGAAAGAGAAAATAAGAAATGCAAAAAACAGGCCTCATCCAGGGGAGGGGGCAGACGACGCCATCAAGCAACTGAGAACACGTTACCCCATCGCCATCAAGGTGAATAGATCAAGAACCAGCTAAAGACGGGAATGAAGCAGATTCATCCATGGGAGCCAGATTGTCCTAAATTTTTCGAATCTGCCATGCAGTGATGCTGTCATTTCCTCCACGAGCATAAGTTCATTAACTTTGTTAACCCACATGGACACCGAGGGAGGATCTTTAGATTTCCATTTGAGAGGGATACATGCATGGGCCGCGTTGATCAAATGTATCCAGGGGGAGGATTTATTTGACTTAATAGGGGAGTCAGATAAGTGTAAGAGGAAGAGGGTGGGATTCAGTTCTAGTGCAGAGACAGTGACAGTCGTCATGCTATCGCTGACCCTCTGCCAGAAAGACCGCAACAATGAGCACTCCCAAAATATGTGGAGCAGGGAACCCGGTGCTTGTAAGCATCTCCAACAAAGCGGGGAGGTGGATGGGTACATCTTGTGTAACATAGTTAGTACCCAATACCATCTGGTCAACAGTTTGTATCCAGATTCCTGTATCTTGCTCGAAATAGATGAATTTATGGGCTAGGAGCAGGATTCTATGCATTTGAGAGGGCGTAAATGGGATTGCCAGGTCGGATTCAAAAATCTGGAGGAACCTGGGTGGTGGGCGATCTGACCAGTCATTTAACAACGACGCCATGGATCGCACTGTATGGCGAATTGGTTCTGACTTAAGGCAGGCTTGTTCGAACTGGGTGAGCAGTCTAAAAATTGGATCTTAAAAAGGAGCGCAGGTAATGGGACAATTACATCAAGCTCCAGGACTCTACAGGAGGTGCGACTAATTGCAAGATTTACGTCTTAGTCATCATTCTACCTTCAGTAATAAAATGTGATAGTCTCGAGAAATTCGCAGAAAGCAAATTCTGAAATCTGGAGCCTCTGTATCATGAAGCCAGAGTTAGCCTGTGTATCCAGACGGGCACCTGTGCATGCACATGCGCATCGTCCTACACAGAGGATTGTGCGCGGCCGTGGGCCTCTACATAGGCGTGCTCGCGCGCCCAGCACGGCATGCACACACGCCCGTTCCTAATGATGGCACCAACAGGGCTATTTAAGGCTGAGACACCTTGACCTCCCTGCTGACTGATCTTCAGCTGTAACCCTGCTCCTGAAACCTGTTTGATCATCTGCTACGGACCCGGCCTACTTGACCTTGCTCCTGTTCTGTGCTCCTTGACCTCGGCTTGTTCTTTGACCTCTCTCCTGTCTGCTCCCTGGATACCTCGCTGCCTGCAAGTTACTGACCCGGCCTGTCTCCGATTACGTCCTGCCTTTTGATTGTGTACCTCGCTGCCAGATTGTTGCTGACCCGGCTTGTCTCTACTCTGCTTCCAGGATCCTGCATTACTACCTGCATCCTGCTAAGGTACCCCTGCAACCTGCACGCAGCTCTGTCAGGAGTTGCAACCTACCGGCACTTATGCCCCTCCTTGTCCTCCCGCACCTGTTCCCACTATCCAGGGGTGTTTGGACTGGAGCAGCAAGAGAGGCCGCCCTCGTCATCTCTGGCTCCCCCTAAGGTACGTGACACTCTGAGTCCCGGTAGAAAGGCTGGATTACCCAGTACCAGCGTGTAATGGATTTTTTAAAGAGCAACTGCACTTTTGTGTGGTATATCTTAGTGGAACCACCAACATAGGGGTATTTATTACTCCTACTAACTCATGTGTATTTTGGGAAACAAAAGCAACACAGAGCGCCTCCATAGTGTAAAACTTTTATTAGTGTATTTTATTTACTCCAAATGACCACCAACATAGGGGTATTTATTATTCCTACTAACATATGGGTTTTTTTTTTACTCCAAATGACCACCAACATAGGGGTATTTATTACTCCTACTAACACATGGATATTTTTTTTTTTTACAGAAATGATCACTGACATAGGGACATTTATTACTTGTACTGACCACCAACATAGGGGCATCTTTTGCTTCTACTGACCACTGATGTAAATGTATTTTTTGCTCTCACTAACCACGGATAAAGTGGCATTTTTATACTGTAAATAACCTGTAATGTAGGGGCATATTTTACTACAACTGATCCCTGATATAGGGGCATTTATTTTACTCCTACTGACCACAGTATAGCAACTGTTTAATGGACAATGAACTTGCACTTTCCTTCAAAATGTTTGGGGACTCCTTGCTCTATAGGGAAGCAATCAGATGGGGAGACAACACTAGCAGCCAATCACGTGTGTGCATGCAAATCTACTGACAAACAGATTAGAGCGAGCAGATTCATGAACTCATCAGTCTGTGGCTGTTCTTTCACTGTCTAATCAGTATTCCGGGGGTGTAGAGAGATGACCACAACACTCCTTCTGCGACCTGTACATGTAGCACAAAAAAAGTGGTGTCATCCCCCTGGCTGGCCCTACCATGACGAAAGAATCACACTAGCCACTTTTCTGCCTGCTATCCACCCCAACAAAGAAAATGTCCATCTTTTATCCATACCTTATCACACCTCATCTAGTCCTGCTCCAACATACAGGGCTTCTGGCAACAAGTAGTTCAATATATGAATAATGTCACAGGGAATTCTCAACCCCACCACCCAGAGTTTTGCCAGTTTCCCAATGCTGTCCAAGAGGAAACATCTGACAAACTTAATATGTGGGAGCACTATTGCTTAAATGGCATAAAAAATTAAAAAAAAGCTGAAAGCAGGTCAACCTGGGCCCAATCCACATACTATGATGCACATCTAAAATGATATTGTAACACTCTAGAGCCGTGGTTCTCAACTGGTGGGTCGTAACCCCATGTTCAGTGGGTCACCGCATGCCTTCCACTGGACTAGGTCAGAGGCTTCAGACTCCCCCATAGTGCAACACTGTCAGTTCTCATACCTAGCAGCCATTCAAAATATGCTGCCCGGCGCGGAGTGTCAGCTTAAAGTTGGGTGGGCTGGCGATATGGCCGCGAGGGAGCTCCATCCATGCATGCATGCATGCATGCATGCATGCATGCATGCATTGCTTACAGCTCCTCGCGTGACATCACATTTTGGCTCCCGGCACCTATGCAGGGAGTGCAAGTGAGCAGTACAAAACATGCACATCTGGATGGAGCTCCATCAAAGCACAGCAGCCTACACTGAACCCCTAAAACATTTTTGGGAGTGTGTATGTGTGTTTGTGCAAGAAGGTCTGTGAGTGTGTGAGATTGTGTCCGTGGTTGGGTGTGTCTGTCAGTGTTTTAATCACAAACTATCACACAATTGCATCTACTGTTCGTTCTGGTGCAGGAGGTGCGTTGCAGTTAATTTGAACGGCACCTCAAACACACCTCCAGCCCCCAGTTTGCTCGATTGCACCAGAACATGCTGTATTGCAATGCCATGCGGTGCAACTTGGGTCGCGATTTAATGACCAAGGACAAATGTGGTTCCTGAGGTTATACAGGGTGAGAACCACTGCTCTAGGATAAACAAGACCTTTAAATGGGTAAAGCTAGAATTCTTTGTTTGCTTTTGTTTTAAAAGTGTTAAAAAAGATTGTTTTGCAGTTCTCTTCTTCAAGGACTCAAAACTGCTAAAATGCTCACAATGAGATTGCTATGTTCACGATCTGTGCCACATGTATTTCTACTTCAAAAGTTGTAATTACATGTGCTCTATGTTCTGTGCAACTGTTTAAGATAATAGAAATTGAAATGCTAAATGTAAAAAGAAGAAAAAAAAAAAAGCTCTATTATTCCATTTATTTAGTACTTTGCCTGCGTTCAGCTTGAAAGAACGTTTGTGTTAGCAATAATAAATCATAAATAAATAAGATTATATATAATAGAAGTATAATATTAATATATAGAAGCGGTTATTTAAAAATATTAGTAAATGTACCCACATCAAAAAGGTAACAGATTAGGTGACCCACACTAGGGATCCAACAGTAAACCATTTTTGTAAGATGGGTGTGTACCTAAAAAGAATTGAAAAACATTATTGAAGCATATAAGGGTCGAATGTCTGACTTTTTAAACATGCAGACCCATAGTCAGCCAGTTAGGCCTCGTTCACACCAGTTGCAGTGCGTTCCGGCCAGATTCTGGCCAGAACGCACTGCCTAGCATTGCAGCTGGCTCACTTTTCAGTGGGGCAGGATGGAGCGTGGTGGGCCATTGAAGTGAATGGCACCGTAGCCACGCCCTCTGGCCGCAATGCGATCAACCGCATGGGATCGCAAGGCACATTATGCCTACGGTCCGTTGCAATCAAAATGCTGCAAGCACTATTTTGATCGCACAGTATCGGACCACAGGCAAAATGTGCATTGCGATCCTTTGCGGCCGGAAGGCGTGGCTACGGTGCCATTCACTTCAATGGCCCGCCACACCCCCTCCTGCCCCACAAAAAAGTGAGCCAGGTTCAATGCGAGGCAGTGCGTTCTGGCCAGAATCGGGCCGGAACGCACTGCATCTGGTGTGAACAGGCCCTTACCCTTCTTCTGTATCCCCCGGGTTGGCCTGATTGCTCATGATCTGAGCAAGATCCCTGCTTCAATACATACAGGTGGTCACTCCAGTTGATTACCTAGTGTTTGCAGCCTTGAGGTCACAGAAGTGTGTAAGCAAATTCTTCACCACATCATTGCAGACCACCTTGACAACATCAATGTGAGCAAGCCGACAGCGAAGTTGTCTTGCCAGTTCCCAAAAGTCATCCAAAAGCAGATGGTAGAGCTGGCCATCATCCTTGCTGAGATCTCCATACCATGATAGAATGTAGTCCCGATAGCTATAGTCAAACACTGTAAAAGAAGAATAAATATGTAAATACTGTATATCCATGATATGGATCTAAACCAGTGTTTCTTGAACTATGGGCTGTGACCCAAATTGGTTTGTGGGCGTGTATGAGATGGGTTGCCACTAGACTGTGTAACCTAGTTTGCCCAAGTGTTAAACTAGTGGATCAATAGCGAGCGATATAAAAACACACTGACAATGACTGGCAGCACAAATTTGTATAGTGAACTACAGCACATCTGAGGCACAGGGAGGAGGAAATTACACAGAAAAGGTCTGAGCTCTGCTGATACTAAGTCATGTACTTGCTTGCATTCAAAAGAAACATTTGCTGAAGCATGAATACAGAGTTGCAATAATTGATATCTTTATATACCGGTAGTTTAAAATAGACTGTGAGCAATGTATGCATTTAAAAAATTCATTTTTAATCTTGACTGAAGTGTGACTTTTATGTGAGCCCTTTCTACATTTCCCACGCTATATAATTAACCTTGTAATTAAATGGACAAGGTAATTAAAATTAAACTCTGCATCTACAGTAACTTTAGCAACAACTAATGGTCGAGAAGAAAAGCAAAAGCTATAAAAACATGTACAAGAGGACAGAAAAATCACCGTCGACCAGATCCAGCCAATTACAAAATAACAGTCCATCCATTTTTCACTCAGTTACCACCACATAAATAAAACAGCAAACAGACTGAAATCTTTTATTTCTAGATAGTTTACCAACAATAATGTATTACTGGAGTTCTTCTAGTTCAGTAAATAATCAGAGTGGTGCATTTTCTTAATGAATTACTGACTCTTTGAACTGATTAACTGTCAATGGAATACCATGTTCTGGATAGCATGACCAAGGAGACTATATTTCATCCTTTAGTATTGACAAGTGAGGCCTTTACTGGTCAACTCCAGTTTGTATTGTTTCCAATAAGCATTCAAAATTTTTATTGTTAGTGCCATAAAACGGATTAGGACCAAGATTTCACAGAACCATTTCCCAGTCTCAGAAAATGTGGTCCTAGAAACAACCAAGCAAAGGGGATCATTGTGCAACATGGACCTAAAATGGTAATAAAACGGAAACTTGATCAAGGCTGGTTTAGTTAGATGATTAGTTTTTGTTTTTTGTCTTCTTAGTTAAAGCTGAACTCCTGGCACACAGTTAAATACACATAAAGGAGCTGTTTTACCTTCCAAAAAACCTTAA